GAATAGAACTGGCCGATACTTGATGAAAATCCATATTTAAAAAACTAATCAATAGAGTTTATTCTATGATTTTCACTACACGACACGTGTTTCTCTATACAATAGCTTCTTCAAACACTTGTCGCGGTTTTTGTGAAACCCTTATAGTGAAAATCATAGAATAAACTCTATTGATTAGTTTTTTTTTATAAAATACTTTGTCTAATTTCCACTTACTTGATGTATTGATATTGATACGACCAACGTTTCGGTTTTTACACTTGTTAGAATACTTGAGAATGATGTACAAACCGAAACCTTGGTCGTATATCAATATCAATACATTAAGTAAGTGGAAATTAGACAAAATATTTTATTTCTATATCTATATCATTTAACTGATTGTTTTAGCTGACATCTCTTAGAGTGACGCTCATTGGAAATCATTTTTGTTCCATTCCTACACTTGTATACAGTTCTCTATTATAATTTTTATATTTTTCAGACTGCGGAAGGTAAGAAATACCCAAAAAAGATCGATGAAAAACTGATTTTCCTCCACAAAAAATGACTTTTGTTGGATATTATGAACTTTCACAGTGACCTTTTGTGAACCGACAAAAATCCCCACGTTTGGGTAGGAATGATTGGTGTCCTATTTGACCCATTTTTTCTACCAGCAAGATTAACAGGTGAATCCTACACGGACTTTTTGCGAGATCATTTATCCATTTTGTTAGAATAAGTGCCGGTACATGTAAGAGGCAACATGTGGTTCATGCACGACGGGGCTCCAGCTCACTTTAGTGTTCTTGCTCAGCAGCATCTCGACATCACCTACCTCAATCGCTGGATTGGACGTGCAGACACTCAAAAACGGCCAGCTCGCAGTCCTGATATGAATCCTCTAGATTTATATTCATGGGATCATCTGAAGCCTCTTGTTTATAAAACTCCTGTACTAGATGTGGATGACTTGAGGATTCGAATAATTGAATCGTAAGAAATGAACTTTAAATGTTCAAGCCCGTTTCGGATATACCTACACTAGTAGTTGTTTTCTGATAGGCGTCAGTCCATTCAACCTACTGTGTAGGTATATCCGAGAACATTTAAAGTCAATTTCTTTAGATTTGTTTACTGCCCGTCTTCAAGCATAGCCCACTGACTAATAAGATTCGAATAATTGACAATTGCAATGTCATAATATTCGAATAATTGACAATTGCAATGTCATACTCCAATGGAATACTCCAGGTATTTTTGAACGTGTCAGACAATTAATGACAAATCGATTGCAGTTGTGTATTTTATCAGATGGTGGATATTTTGCTCATTTAATTTAAGGTCGAAATCACTTATTATTTACTTTTGGTTTTTATTTCATGTTGTCCATGGATAGTTTTTAGAATAGATTCATTCGAGAGCAAAGCTGGATATGTAGAAAACATAAGCAACGAAAAAGTTGTAATTTCAGTTGCTCAATCTAAACTAATAACTACAAAAAAGTCAGTGGCGTTCTTTTTTTTTCCAAATATTGTTGTCTGTAGTGCCCACTGAGACGCCACTGGACTTAATAATTTCAATCTAGTTCGGGCTAAATACGCGCCTTATTACTTGAAATAACTAGCAAATTTCAACCAAATCGATGTAAGGATATTTATGATATTTCATAAAACCACCTAAACTACCTTGGTTAGGATAGTAATAAGAGGAAAAAGAAGCAAAAAATTTAAATGTACAGAGCAGGGGTAGCCAACCGGTCGATCGGGGCCAGAAAATAATTCAAAAATTTGTGAACATCAAGGATCATATGGAAAAACATACTACGTATAGTTTTCATTCACAATAAGTACGAAACTTTTGAAACAACCAGATATAGTTTGAGTTATTTTTATATTAACTAACTAAAGGCGTTATAATATTTTGATGTCACTTCAGAAAATACAACTCTCACAAATATTTATCTGTTTCAGGGATTGGATGATTTTGAAAATAATCTTCCCGCAGAACCACTTTGTACTGCCCTCATGCAGCTTTTTGCTACCGTTCTTCAGAATGCTCCCAAGGAGACTCCTGCCAATCGAATACATGATATCGTAAGGTAAGTTGCATGTTTTGCTTCAATATTACAAACTAGCGAACCGCCCCGGCTACGCACGGGTGCAATGCTGATACTAAATATGAATTCACCCACCGGAAATTTAAGGGCATGGAGAAACAGTAATGAAAAGGTATCTTTATTTTGTGAACGCGCCTTTTTGTCCCGCGTCTGGCGCCCCAGTTGGAATATTTTAAAATCCTTTCTTACTGCACATCTACAATATAAAATGAACCTAATACAAAATTTCGGCCTCCGAAAATATAGCGTAACGCGCCACTTTCGTCCCCACGGGGATACCCCAGATGGAATATTTGAAAATCCTTTCTTAGTGCGCATCTAAGACCTAAGAAGCGCCTATACTGGGCGTTCCAATGAAAACTTGACCCCCCTGTAAGTCAGAAACGGACGTGTAATCGAAAATTTCAAAGAACACGTCAATTTTTTTTCTAGAGAGACTAATTCTGATATGGAAATCATACCCGTTTTTCACAAAATGGCGGCACTTCCGTCCGCCATTTTTGTAAGTATTTTGTGTTTTTAGGTTAATTACGTCAGACTGCAACTATTTATGCAATTAAATAACTCCTGCCTAATTTTGCAAAACAAAATCCTCTATTACCTGTACTAATAGTGTTCAAAATGACCTCCATCTAGTTCCATACAATAATACAGTCTACTTTCGAAAGCGTTCCTTACATTAGTCAGAATTAGTCCCCCTAGAAATGAAAATGGACCTGTTCTTTGAAATTTTAGATTACATGTCCGTTTCTGACTTATAGGGGAGAGGTCAAGTCAACGTGATGGCGAGCGTTCGCGCAGGTATAGACTCCCCAACTAAATTCCTACTGGATTACGATAAGCCCCTTGCCGGCCAGTGCCGTACATATAATTAGTTTCAATTAGGGTAGCAACTGGAACATGACTTTGTAATTTCTTTTCACATTTTATCTAGTATTTTAGGTAGTAGTACAGTTCATTAAAATGTTATTGTATAATGATAAACTTATCCAAAAATAAACTTTTGTTAGGCGATGACATTTTTTCAGAAACAACACAAATTATTCAGACAATGTTAAGCGCCAACAGCATTGGAGGACAATTAATGATACGCCTCTGTACAGTGCATTTGAATGTCTTACAAGAGCAGTAGTGGGGGTTCTATCGAAAATGAGTTCGTGCGCATGGGGGCGGGCTCGCCATCACGTTTGGCGCTTCATTTTAGCTACCTAGGTAGGTAGGTAGGTCTAAAGTGAGTGGGCCTATTCGACCCTCCACTGCAACCCAAAAGGGTTTATTGTGGGTCACACCTATTTACACTCGGCCAAATAAACCCAGCTTCTTAACGAAGCCGATCAGTTTGTATGGTGAGTGGTCTTTCAGGTCAGATGGTGAAAGTAGGATCTGCCGAACTCTAAGAACCTGATTCGGTCCCTAGCAGGGCAGGCACAAAGTATATGCTCTGCAGTTTCATCATTTTCCAGACAGAGGCGACACACACTGCCTTCCGATAGTCCAAGTCTCTGCATATAATGATTCAAATGTCAGCGACCTGTAAGAAGGCCTGTTAGACATCGTAGTTCATCCCTACTGTAGTAGGGATGTTGTTGTTGTTTCAGGGATTTCAAATCATTTTATATAGTAGACAATGGAAGTCCGAACTAGTGAAATTCATCATCTTTTAATACTCTCGACAACCATTAAAACTGTCACTTTCCATGACAGTTGTACAAAATTGATATTTTTAAATTATTCAAACTATTTCTCACAATTTTTATTCACACTCGGTACACGATGAATGCTCATAAATTTCAGTTCGCGGCGTGTTTCCCTTTGCGTATGCTGCTATCGAATTAATCATTCATAACTTTTCTGTTTCACCCCCAGAAATGGAACACGTCGTTCCATAACCCTGAAATTGATTGATCTTAGTCCGATGCATTAGCTAAACGATCAAAAGGGAAGGGTGCCATATCAGTAAAATATTCAAATCTGAACTCGCATATGGCTTTTTTTGAAAATCACATATTTGCATTTGCACGGGTTATGTTTGATTGATTTGAACTAGGATCGAATTCCACCTCAAAATAATCTTTGGTGCACGAGTTAATTTTCATTTTATTCGAATAATGCTGAGTCGAGTTCCGTTACCAAAATAATTCAGTTAACTTAACTGGACAAAAATGTGGAAATGGACCACGTTTACACGGCATCTTATTGAAGGGTCTTTTCTAACAACCGATGATACTGAAAGTTACGTGAATGCCTGTGTAAACATCGATTTCGTTGAACTTCTTCAAACCGAATCAGTAACGCTAAACATTCTGGAAAGAAGATTGGCGAAATGAATACTTTTCGCGGTGTAATAATTCGTAGTCGTAGTTCTTTTATGAACGACAACCCTCATTCGTCGAAACTTGTACAGTTCAATAAACGATTTAGTGCAAAATTCCTGTTTTCCAGGAATCAAGTATGACAGTGAACAAATATATAACGGAAAACGATTTTAGCACGATGAATCACGATCCAACCACAAAATATGAAAGACAAATTAATAGCCTAATAAAATCCAACAAACAGATCTTTAACAACAAAGCATTGAACAGATACACAGTCAACAACCCAAAAGCACCAAAACTCAACGCACAGATAAAGATACATAAGGAAAATAAACCTATAAGACCGGTTATCAATTTCACCAGAGCACCTTCATACAAAATTTCTAAAATCATAGCCGACGAACTGAAAAACAAAATCAACAGGAACAACGACCACAGCATCAAAAATTCAATGGAAC